GGCAAGGCGTTAGCTCTGAGGTGATACAGTGATCCTTGAAAGTCTGCAGTGACTCTTCCTTTCCTAAATTATGTTACTCAATGACAACCCCGGGAAGCCTCTCCTAACTCTGCAGCTGTGTTCTCAGGACCACGGCAGGGGAGGACGGCATCCCACTAACAGACCGCCTCCCAGGCGGCGGCTCTGTAAGTAGCAGCAACACAATGTTCAGTGTCACGTGCTTCAGACCTCGGGACGCGCCACACTTTAATTAGCCAACTCACAGAACTAAGAGCTAAGGCCACAGGACCAACTGGTTGATAAATCCGGAGCATGGAGCAAAGAGCAAGAACACACCCACTCCTGCCCACGACCAGGACACAAGAAGGTTAAAACAAATAAAATCAACCTGGTCATGTTGTCGGCCATGGCAGAACAGAAGGGGATAGTGGGGAAGCAGCAAAGGGGATTTCGTTACAGAGAATTTTGATTCCAGGCCCTCAGATTAGAAATGCGTGCGCACGAGTCAGGGAGGAGTCTCGTCCTGGAAAGGGGCCGCCCCTCAAGCCAGCCACTGCTTCTGTGGCCCTAGAGGCTCAGCACAAATGCTCGGTGCTGAAGCCTTAAGAAATCAACCCAGGTCCTCCCGCTTCTCGTCCTGGCGCGTCCTGAGTCCCTCTGCCGGCCCACTCTGCCCGCTGCTGCCAGGCGGCGCGCGCTGGTGACACTGGTCACGGTCCACACCTAATGGGCTGACCTCCTTTCCAGACTAATTGCATTACATCGCCAGCTGGCTCCAGAAGGAGTCGTCTGTTTGATTGAAGAAGTCCTGCTCCTCAGTGGGCCCTGCTGCTACTTTTACTAAGTAACAGTCAGGCCTGACATCCCCATTGTTCAGCTGACAGTGTGCCCATCCTAAAATCTAAGTTTTATTTGTAAATTAACCAGGAAACTTCCTGCCAGAGCAGCGCTGCCTGGAGACTGATAATGTGGGCCTTTCATCCTTCCCACTCGTCCTGTATGGCTGCCAATTTGTTTTTTATGCGGCTGGCCAGCCTGAGGCTATAAAAGCCTTGTAAGACATCAGTGCAATTATAGTCCTGGAGTCAAATGAATTGGACAAATCCAATAGCACAGCCCTGTCCCCACTCTGCAAACCCCTACAGCAGTTAGATTAGCTGTGAAAAATCTAATCTAGCCAGAGCTAACACATTTCTGCAGTGAAGGAGCAAGAGTTCAGTGTGGGGTTGCACCCGGGTTGCGGGGCTGAAAAAGCGTCCCCAGGACAGCGGCAGAGGAGAGCATGAATCACCGCAGAACCCTGCAGCTCGTTTTTAAGCTGTTAGGGACAATTTAGTTAGAACAAGACAAGGAACTGTGGGCCCCTGCTCCCGTGACTGATTTTCAGTCTCGCTGTGAGACACTGACAGAGAGAGTTTGTCACTAATGATGCTAAATCTTGGAGCTGCAAAAGGTATCAGCTGAATTTTGATTGTTCCAGTAGGGAACCTTTCAACCAGGCCAGGTCTTGGAACAGTATTTATAACATGGTGTTTTTATCAAGAAAACCCTAGGTCTTTTCTCAAAAAAAAAAAAAAGCACCATCCTACTTAGTAAATATTAAAAAAAAATTAAAATAGAAGCCCATCTTGTAACAAAATAGTTTGCATGGATAAGAAAATCACAGAGCAAGCTGACACATTTGCAGAGTAGCACCGATTTATAGGGTCCGGCAAATAAAAAGGAGCCTCGCCTGGGGTCTCAATAATCTGAGACAGAATCGCTGTGGGCAGGTCCCCGTCGCTGAGAACACCGCCGCCACCAAAACCCGAGATGTGGCCGCAGCTCCTCTAGGAGCCAGCACATGGCCGGGGTGGACAGTCAGCCGCGCTCCGCGTGCCCTGAGACACCTGGTCACGGTGAGGGGGGTCTGGGCTGTGCTGGGACCTGAGTGCCGAGGTCCATGGGCACCGCTGCCCGCCACGTACATGGTTCCGATGTCTGCAGCCGCGGTGAAGAGAAAGCAGGGCCACGGAGGAGAGAGATGAGGCAGGCAAAGCGAGGCCCGCCTGCCAGCATCTGTTGGTGCCTGGTGGGCCGGGAGAGGAGATGCAGCCAGACTTGCAGGGGGCGGCGAAGGCGGATGGTGGGAGATCTTCTCTGGCTCTGCGTTAAGCAGTTTTACTCCACGGCCCGTGGGCCATGTGTTTGATCTCATTTGACAGGTGGGAAAGCGGAAGCACCTGGATACACCTGTGAACCCTGCCCACCACCACCACACCGGACCCCCGCCCGCCAGCCTCAGTCGGCATCAGTGGCCTGATGCCCCCACCAGGCGCTACCCTCAGCTGCCTGCATCCGTGGAGGAGGAGAAGTGGGGTGAGGCCGGGGTGCCGGGCTCTGCCCTACTGGCAGGCTAGTCACCAATGTTCTCATCCGGCAATGTGGACATGGGTCAGGTTTCTAGACCTCCTTCCCAGACCACATCCTTCTCCTGGGGGGTGCCCCTCACTCTACCAGGTCACCTCAGGTGGACATCCTGCAGGTGGAACAGCACAGGGGACCCTGTAGAGCTCCCTCAGAGGCGGGGTTTCCTTTGAGCTCTAGAGAAAACTGCCCTCCAGACCACAGGGATGGAGAACACAGTGGGTGCCCGAGGGGGCCTGCCGGGCAGCAGTGCACCTGGACACTGGACAATCGTCTCCCCAGCTGCCCCCTGGCTGCCCTGGGAGGTGCCCAGCGTCTGGACGGCTCAGGACCTCAGCCAAGCCGAGAGGCCAACAGCATTAACTTCCTCGTGAAAGAGCGTCTGAAATTAACAATGTTTAAAATCCCTCCTTTGCCTAAATCTTTTTTTTTTTAATTAACTTTGGAAAGTGGACCTTAGGCTGGAGACAGGTGGGGAGACTACTGTGGTTTTTTTTTTCTTTTTTGGCAAGTTTCTTCTGTGTAGCACAGGGAACTGTATTCAATACCTTGTAATAACCTTTAATGACTTTCAAAGAAAAATAACCTTTAATGAAAAAGAATAAGAAAAGGAATGCATGTGTGTATATGCATGACCGGGACACTGTGCTGTACACGAGAAACTGACACAATATTGTAAACTGACTGCACTTTTCCTAAATCTTGATCTCAGGATTTAAGGCTTAAACGACTGGGGGGAGGGTATAGCACAGCAGTGAGGCGCATGCTTAACGCGCAGGAGGTCCCGGGTTCAATTCCCAGTATCTCCATTAAAAAAATTTTTTTTAAAAAAGACTCAAATGATCGATGGCTTGTCACATATTTCTTTACCCAGTTTGTGCAACACTGGACACTGCAGATCAACTACAGCTGCAGCTTAAGGAGAGCAACCCCAAGTCTGTGTCCGGAGGAAAGCGGTCTCCGCACGGGTCGCACCACGGCTTTCAATCTGTCCTAAGGGAGCCTCCCCTCCAACCTGGGCAGCAAGAAGGGTCCCCAGGGAGGCCCTTACCTTTTTGGTGAGCGAGTCATCCGAGTCGGAGGGCATCCGAGTGGAAACGTGGAAGATCACCTCCACGGTCGAGGTAGCGTAGTAGGGGGCCGTCTGGCCGGTGCTGCCGTTGCGCTGCAGGCCGCCCATGAAGCCGCAGTGGGTGGACAGGTCCACCTGACGGGACACAGCAGGGGGAGGGCGGTCAGGCTCGAGCTCGTCTCACTCACCATAAGGAAGGTACGCTTTTTTTTTAAGAATCTAAGTATTTTAATTTTCATAGCTTTATGATTACAAACAGATGTAATACAAAATTAGATGAAATTAAAATATGAAAGAAACATTAACAACGAAAGGGCCAAAATCCTACCAATTTAAGAAAACTGCTATCAAAAGTTTGGTACAAATTTCTCCAACTTTACCCCCTCCTCTGTGTGTGTGTGTGTGTGTGTGTGTGTGTCGCGCGCACATGCGCACACACAGAACTTCCCTACTGATGGATGTGTGGGGTTTTCTGCTTTCTCAAACAGTGCTCGTGTGGTCAAACCATATGGTACCACCATTAAAGAAAAATAAATAAATAAAAACCTAATTCCCCCTCATTTTAAACAATTTTAAAAATTAAAAAATTTTAAAATATGTTAGTTGAATAAGCAGTATATTCTATGACAAATAAGTCATCCTATTAGTAAGAAGAACAGTTTATTAAAAGTGCAATAACTTTTAGACTAAAGCTACTTGCATTTTAGAGAGTACATGGTCTTGACCTTGCTGGCCCCGCACCCTGTTCCCATCCCCACAGCAGTCTGTTTGCTCACACTCAGCCCTCAGAGAGAAGTCTCACTTAGGTGCCCAGAGAGTCTCCCCAGCACAGACAACCAAGAAACCAAAACAACAGGAATGAGAAGAACAAGACTGCAGATGTGCTGATTTCCATTTTAGCTACTCCGAATTCTTATAGATTCCAGGAATATGTTTTGGAGACAAATATGTGTGTGTGTGTATGTATAAATGTATACATGTCTTTCTGCCAGAGTATCATTCAATAAAGGAAAAATAAAATTTTAACATATCAGCCATCCTGGGATCTAGGGACACAGGTTGATAGCCAAACCAGCATGGCTACTATTGAGTCAACTTTGGGCCTCATCTAACTTCCTTTTTTCACCCGTTAAGTCATCGGTTTCTTAGCCAGTCTCCATACTGTGACCAAAGCCATTTCTTCCTTGCCCATATCTGTCTTCCCTCAGTACAGACTGTCTATGGCTGGTGAGTCGACCTATTTGGTTCGGATAAAAAGCAAATGAAACAATATAAAGAGGAAAGCTAAGGAGAAACAAAAGTTTAGGTATAAAGTACGACAATAACTAATCGAAGATGTCAAATTCAGCCTATTCTTCAACTCCAGAACTCTACCCACACCACACTGGAACGTGAAAACACGTGAAAACGTGTGCCATCAACACCTGGTTCACACCCATCCTTAAACGGCGCTGTCAACAGACTCCTCCAGAATGCAACCGATTACCTCCCATCCAAGGCCGGCAACGAAGTCTTCATAAGCTTGGCTTCCTCTTTCATTGGAGAGGATGGAACACTTGTCCTCCTGACCTTCAGCGATGTAGAACACTGCGATTTTGTGCGTTTCACGGCTGTAAAGGTTTGAATGTAGAGGAGTCAGAATCCTTACGTGGAAAATCGTTTCACTGCTGCCATCCCCACTCCTGCCACTCAGCTCACATTTACTGAGACCTCACGAGGGGCCAGTCATCGCCCCACGAAGGTTCAATGTGATCTCATTTATCTCCACCAGCACCCTAAGGAGACAAGCCTTATTGTCACCTCCCTTGTGGAGAGAGCTGAAAGGAGGCACAGAAAGTCGCACAGAAAGTCACACAGAAAATCACACAGAAAGCACACGCAGCGAGCAGGGGACAGGGCCGGAGGCCGGGCAGCCTGGTTCCTGAGACCACTCGCTGACAGATGAGACACTTAACAGCATGTTAGAGCACACGGTTTGACAAATTCTCTCCATTTTTGGTTAAAAAAAAAATCTTTGAAAGCATTTCAGATAGATCTCAGTTGTGAACAATCTAGGTGGCCACACCCATTTCCCTTCCCACACTGAGATAAGGGAACTGTGAAATAGGCCTGGGTCAGACGAGACACCACGGACGCGACCTCCTCGAGGCAGAACACACCCGGGTCCTTCCTCTGTGAGGGGCTGCACCCGCCCCGTGCTCGGGCTGGTCTCGGCGGGCCTGATGGGGTGCACAGCTATCCGGGGAGACGTCTTGGGCCATATAAATGGCTCGTCCACTTCCTCCAGGATGGGTTTGGGGCACTTTGCTGTTAAATCAAGTAAACATGCCATGCACGTGCCTCCTAACCTGCTGGACATCCAGCATAGACAGTCCTTGGCACACAGAAGTGGCCCAGTTAAATCTCTGTTGAACTGACCATAGATACAATGACACGTTTGATTATATCAATAACTCATTCTATAAATTATACTCTGAATTGCCAAAGCCGCTGGACCCATACCCAGTGATCTGTTAAGTTCTGGATTGTCATTCCCAGAGCACTTCCACTCTTCTCCTTGTTTCTACAGAACATTCTGAAACATCTCATAGGAAAACTAATGAGCACTTAAATAATCTGAATGTTTCTACCGTCTAATTGTTCAATATCTCAACATGTATAATCTGATGAGACATCTAGATTGGTGAAATCGGGGTTCCATATTTTAACATATTCTCCAATATTTCCTCCTGCAGGAATATTATTTTTCTACTTAATTAGCAGAATGAATTGAAGCTCAACTAAAAAGTCATAAAAATAAATCAAGGAGGAAAGTGTGCTCCTTCTAGTCCTTTCCGTGTTCGTGTCTCTCTGGAGTCTACACGTAGTGACCATACTTGGAAGGAAAATTAGAAAACACAGAAGAATAAAAAAACCCCACTAGTAGGGGTGTATGTATCTTTTTGAATTAATTCTTACTTTGCGGTTGGCTTTATTCCTTTGATAACTATGTAAGTTTAAAAAGCTAAAGCTCTAAACGTTCTTAGAAACAATAAACAGTACCTACATGTAGATTTAAGAAATAAGTGCAGCATATTGTGTATATGTATTTACATGCAATACATTGTATCTGTGCAGCCAAATTGTAACTTCTGCCTAAAAAACTGAAAAAAAACCCCACTAGTGTTCTTTGCTTCTATGTTGAAATCATAACCCTCACCTCAGTGCAGGATGCATTTGTGCATATAAAATGAGAAACTACTCTCATGTTTTGCAACTGATTCATTCACTCAAAATATTTATGAACGCTTTTAAAATTTATTGTGTAAAATATACCTAACATAAAAGTCACCATTCAGGCCATTTGGGAGCGTGAATGCTTTTATACCTCGTGCTTGTGTAACAAGGTTATGAATGGCTGTGTAACATCCCATGACATTACTGTACTGGATCCAAGTCCTTGTCACCGGACACTTAGGTTGCTTCCATTGTAAAGACCTTATCACATTATCTTTGATGAGTCCTTAAAATAAATTCATACGACACACTGTAACTGACTATACTTCAATAAAAAAAAGATTTACATAAAAATCAGATTCACAGAAATGGGACCGAGGTCGCTGCCCACTTTTAAGGCTCCCGGTGCGCACTGCCCTGCCGGCAGCGGAGACGGCGGGCGAGCGGGTGTCCAGCAGGCCCTCCTGGGGCGCCCGTCTCGGTGGGACGGCTGCGGGGGGTTCTGGGTGCTGCTCTGGCAGAGACCCTGCGCCCTCACACCGTCAGAGGTCTTGTCCTCCCGTAGCCAGGGCACCGCTTCCTGCCTCGGACTGGCCCTCAAAGAGCGATAATGACCTGAGGGCTCGGATGGTAAGAGAGGTCACGATCTGTCAACTAAGAGACTGTCTCTTTCAACATGTGGGGAAAAAAATACAGTTACTCAATTTCTTTCTGCAGCTCTGTCTATATATTTAAAAGTCCTTAGTTCATTTTTCTCTGCTGTATGCACTTTACACACGTAAGACCATCTCAGGTTTATCTGAAATGTTCTTAATTTATTCTCCTTGGAAGTCCATGCTGTTTACGGCTGTAGCTGCTTCCAGGTCCTTGAGTCCTCATTAAGCCAACATGGGAGCAGAGAGCCCTCGGCCCCAGTGACTGCCTGACTGATGGAGGTGTGAGGAAAGGTGACCTTTTGCTGTAAACTCTCATCAAATTTCACAGCCTCCGAAATGCTAGCACCACAGAGAGCCTGGGAGGACGCAGATGCTGAGTCTGGCCTTACGAGAGCCAGGCTTCTGAAATGATAATTAGCAGCGTTAACAACACTTCATACCCAGGGCCTGCAGGACCAGAGCCTGAAGAAGCAGGCAGCTGAGGACCACAGGGACAGAAAATCAGCAACTTCCTCCGCTCCCTAAGAATGCGTCTTTCCTTCTCGTTAGGAACAGGCCAGAACAGCTCGGTATCCTGGTGCTATTGCATTAAAAAGCCAAAGAGAGAGCCACGGTTTTAACTGTCACTCTGCCGTGTGGTGGCGAGAGGCACTGACGCTGAGAAGGGGCACCCTCTTTAACTCGGCACAGCATTCACACGTCTTTGCTGACTTCCCGGTATAAGAAGCATAGCTGCCAGACAGTCTCTGCTTTTCCTAAGGACGCGGCAAGCTGCAGCTCTGCCTTGGCAGCAGGCAGAGACGCTGATGTCAGAAATAAATGGACACATCCTGAAAGGCAGCGGAAGGACACGGTGTGGTCTCACCTGCTACCTGATCAGCACACAGACAGCCTGTATTTCTCACAGCTAAAGAGTCCCTTGCCTTTTTTTTCCCCCAAAGGAACCCTGAAAACACTCTGTACTGGAGAACAAGTGGACACCTTTGTCAGGAAGACGCGCAGCTCGGGAGTTGGGGTTTTAAGCAAACGTCAATCCAGGGGCGGGAGACGTGCCCATCAGGTCTCCCTCCCAGGGAGCTGATTCAACTGCGCCTCATGCAACTGAAGCGCACTCACACTCAACCAACGGCCAGAAGCACGCGACACCCGTGCGCCAGCGTGACACAAGGACGCGTGGCATCATTCAGCATGTGCCTGGAAAGCGAGTCGGGACCCAAGGGACTGCCTGCTCCCTACCAGGGGCCAGAGGGAGAGCGAGGTGACTTTCGAGCCCTTCAGAAAAAGCCCTCACAGCACCTCCCCAGAGAATCTGCTCTCTTCCTCCAGAGAAGATGCAGCGACAAGACCGGCAGCAGCGTGGGGAGGGGCCATGGGAGGGGGCGCCTGCAGGTTCTTCCTTGAGGTGCGCGGAGAGGGCTCCGAGAGGGGTGGAAAGAAATGGGCTTTTTAAAAACTAAAGATCAAGGTGACACAGGAAAATGTGGGTGCGAGAGGTAAGTTCCAGGGACGCGCCCCATCCAGCGAGGGTCCTGGGCTTCACGCAGGACAGAACTCAGTAGAGAGAAGGGAGATTTGTTCAGAGAGACGCGCACTCCACACCGAGCATGGGCCGTCCCCGAAGGCCAGAGAGATGGACAGAGAGACAGTGACCACGAGGGGCGGGGCCTCAGTTCTCAGGGGCTGGGGAACGTCACACGCTAACAAGTGCGAGGCTTATTCCAACTACTCTGGGGACGGGGCGGGGTTCCAGGAACTGGGCCACCACCCACTTTTGACCTGTCATGGCCAGCCTCGGAACCGTCACAGTGTTAATATATCAGGGAGCATACAGAGTAGCTCAAGGTCAACTGGAGGTCAAATCTCCCACCACTTCAGGCCTCACAGTCCACTGCGAGCTGACTCCCGCCATCCTGGTGCTAACTGCCGTGCCATTCTTCAATGGCTGTGCCTTGCCCCCTCCCCTCCTGTCTCAAAGGGAGCAGGCCGTTCAAGACTTCCGAGTACCTGCGACGTACCAAGGACTATAGCTGCATCGGACGGAGATGCTTTTGGAAGCACGCATCTCCCCAGATCAAACGCTGGTCATCAGATTACACTGAGGACGGATTCTGAGATGGTCCGGAAAAGGGGCAGACCTGAGAACTGACCAGCTTTGGAGAATGAGGTTTGGGGCTGAGGAGCAGCTCATGACAGCACCCGGGTCTTAACCTCGCCAACCCTGCAGAGCCAAGACCGCGGGATGCTGGCCAGCAGGCCCATGGCGCAGGTTAGGAAGTCGGGGTCAATGGCTTCAAACTACCGGTCTGTGCGCACAGGCAGGCCGTCTGACCTGGGCAAACCCCTGACCCTCAGTGGAGCGAGAGGTGGCCGCAGAAGTGAAGTTAAGAACCAGAATCCCCTGGCTTCCATGTGCCTCAGTCAAAGGCAGAGATTAGTGGGGGCGATGACCTCATGTAAGTTTATTCCTCAGGGCGAAAACACCAACGGCGCGGTCTGTGCCTGAGCGCCGGCTCCCGGACCTGTGTGGGGGGTGTGCTCGGCACCCGTGTCTGGGGGCCCCGCACACGCGCACACAGACAAGGACAGGGTGGTTGGGCATACTTCCACGTACCACTGTCGGGAGTCCAGATTTTTCAGCTCTCTCAGTAATTTTGAATTTTTCTTCAACAGATGGAAATTCTTCCTGTATAGAAAGAGAGGTGGAAGAAAAGTCGTGTCGTCACAGATCGGCTTTGCCCTTTCCAATCGACTAACAAACCTACCTGTTCATCCGTCCCTCCATCCACCCCTCCATAACACCTCATTCATAAAAGAGTTGTGACCCAAGCCTCCAGAATGAATTTCGTTCTTAAGGTAGTCAAAGACATCACAGTTCCACTGCGCCCCTCTGGTCCAGGGACTCTGGGTGGCCCTGGCCCGCGGCTGTGTGACCTGTGTGCCTGTCTGCACCTGTTTTCACTGCTGGCTCTGCTGTGAGACCCTTTTCCCCACCTCCGTAGCTCAGATCCGCCCCTTCCACAGGGTCCTCCCCATCGCCCCGCACTTCCCAATGGGCTGAACCCTCAAGTCACAGCATCTTTCATCAGAGGTGTACAGAGCCTGCTGCCCCCACCAGCGCTAAGGACAGACGGTGGCTTATTCCATCTTTGTCGTCCATCTGCATTTTTCCCAAAGGCAGAAGGAACAATGGACACACAGCCATAATTAAAACACACACATACACACACACACAAAGTAAATGTTTGATACCCTTAAAAGTACACAGCAGATGCCTGGAATTCAATCTGTGCATCAGTACAGCACAGTTGGCCAAATTTCTAGCTTTAATTTAGCATAAAATAAGCTCTCAGCGCTGAAGCAGAGAAAAATCTCCACTTCTGCTCTCTGCTTCCCAGACCCCAAACTGATGTAAAGAACAAGCCCACAAAAATTGCGATGAAATAACCGAAGGTCTAGAGGCGGCCATTACCTTCTGTCCCAAGAATTCATTCCCAAGTCGTCAAGCAACAGCCTGCAGAAGTAGAAGGCCCCCCGGGGCCCCACGGCGGGCGGCTGCTCCTGGCTGGGGACTCTCATGGCGGAGCTGGAGTTGCATCTCCGGACGTACTCGTCCTCCTGGGCGTTCTGGCGCAAGATGGCCTCGATGATTTCCTTCTCTTGGTCACGGCTCATCCCACACGGGGGTGGGGAAGGCTCGTTGAGATTTAGCTGTGACGGTAAAAGGCATTCAGGGCTCGTGTGACCAATGTTTTCCAGCAGCTGGTCGAGGACATCCTCTCCCTCCTCTGCCTGAGAAAGCTCCTTCTGAGGTCCGGAGGCTGGATGAGGCCAGCCAGAGATCGGGAGAGAGGGGCTTCTGCCCTCGCGTGCAGAGCAGCCTTGCAGAGGGCCGTAGAGCAGCTTCCCATCCCAAGAGTACTTCCCTGAGACGTCCCTCACGATGACCCGCACGTCGGAGAGGGCGCCCGCTGGCGAGCCGCCCGCAGGACCGTCCGCGGGCGTCTGCAGGCAGGAGATGAGGGTGCTGTCGTTGAACACGAACAGCTGCAGGCCGGGGCTCCTGAACACGTCGGGGGAGAGCTCGGCCGCGCCGGCGTGCGCGTTGTCGTGGTTCTCGCTGACCAGGCTGTGCAGCACGGCCGGGCCCCCGCGGAGCGGGAAGTGGCCCAGGTGGTTGACCAGGTGCGCCATCACCATGCGGGCCGTCAGCGGGATCAGCTCCAGACTCCTCCTCTTCCTCTCTGCCGGCGGAGGGAGCATGCAGAGACAGGGGGAGGGGAGGTTACAAGCGAGCAGCACCAGCTCTCAGCCTGCCCTGGGGGTTCGAGGATTTCAGTCTGGGGGCTCTTTTTGCCTCTTTTTCTTTTTCTTTTGTTTTTGACATGAATTCTACTGGAATGTAAAAGTGCAATTTAAATAGACTGCTGAAAGAACCCACTTACATGAAAACTTCATTCTGACAGGGACACTGAAAAATGTGTAGCTATAGCAATAAACCAGAGAAAGATCCTGGTCCTCAAGGAGCCAATGGCTCGAGGATCTCCGGGGGGAGGATGTGCAGCTCGAGGGGACGGCAGAGCTGGGGTGGGGGGTGTGGGACCAGGCCAGGGAGGTGGCCTCACTTCCCTCCGTGCAGAAAGGGAGACACTGATATAACGGAATGAATCAAGCCATTGACTACTTAAAAATACTTGAAGCTTTTTCAGGAACTTCCATACTGTTCTCCATAAACTGGCTGCACAACTTACATTCCCAGCAGCAGTGCAGGAGGGCTCCCTTCTCCACAGCCTCTCCAGCAATTATTTGTGGACTTTTTGATGATGACCATTCTGACTGGTGTGAGGTGATACCTCATTGTAGTTTTATTTGCATTTCTCTAATAACTAGTGATATTGAATATCTTTTCATGTGCCTGTTGGCCACCTGAATGTCTTTGGAGAAATGTCTATTTAGATCTTCTGCCCATTTTTTGATTGGGTTGCTGTTTTTTTACATATATACAAAGATTCCTTAAAAAACAAAAATAAAGTTACCATATGATCCAGCAATCCCACTCCTGGGCATATATCCAGAGAAAACTCTAATTTGAAAAGATACATACACCTCAATGTTCATAGCAGCACTGCTTACAATAGCCCAGACATGGACGCAACCTAAGTGCTCATCAACAGATGACTGGATAAAGAAAATGTGGTATATACATACAATGGAATATCAGCCATGAAAAGTAAGAAAATAATGCCATCTGCAGCAACATAGATGGACCTGGAGATGATCATACGAAGTGAAGTCAGTCAAAGACAAATACATATTGCTTATATGTGGAATCGAAAAAAATGAACAGTGCAAATGAACTTATTTACAAAACAGAAACAGACTCACAGACATGGAAAGCAAATGTATGGTTTCCAAAGCAGAAAGGGTGAAGGAGGGATAAATTAGGAGTTTGGGATTAACAGATATAAAATAGATAACCAACAAGGGCCTGCTGTGGAGCACAGGGAACTATATTCAATGTCTCGTAATAACCTATAATGGAAAAGAATCTGATAAAGAACAGATTTATATATATATATATATAAAACCGAATCACTTTGCTCTACTGAAACTAACACTACATTGTAAAGCAACTATACTTCAATTAAGAAATGGTAAAAATTAAAAAAATAAAAAATTAGTATCTGAAGCCACTTGCCTTAGGATCATTGTGACTATGCCTTGCTGTTGGGGCATTTTAATATTTAACAGAACCTGGTCTATTAATAATTCATGGAATGCCTTAGAAGGCTTTAACTAAATTTGTAGTTGGTTAAATGCCCATGAGCAACTAATTTACAAAATTTTTCAGACTTCAAATGTATAGAGAGACTGACAAAAGCATGTAAAAGTGGGCCGTGTGAAACATTTGGGGTATAAGGAAGAAAGACTAACTCCACAAGAATGGACTGAAATGACTACTTAAGCTTGAGAGCAGTTAAGAGAAATTTTAATCTACCAAATTCTCAAAAGAATCGTGCGTCACACTAAGAACAAGTGATAATGGAAAGTTCTAATAAAAAGAAAACACCAGACAGTTAAATAAACCAACATTTATCATTTGGGCTTAAAGGGTTAGGAGATACTTGGTTTCTAAGTTCACAAGAGAATTTAAAATCTCTTTTGCCACAGAATTTCACAGTCATTTTTATACCACAGAACTGTGCTGGGACAAGTCTGCATGAAGCCCCGAGGTTCTCTGGAGAGTGAATATTCAAGTCAGAGACTGTTGTATATTGAAAGAAAGTGGCACAAAAATTTAGATGTGCTAATTTTAGGTTTGTCCTTTTTCATTAACCTATTCGTCTTCTGCCATTTTTAAGTGACGGGTCATGGTAAGGGGCGAACCTGTTTCCGGGACAGCCCCGTGGGTTGCCTTTAGGGGAAGTAAGTTAATTTTCTTATGACATGGACAACAAGGTAGGAGACAACAGAGAAACAGATCCAGGGTCATTTTATTATTTAAAAAAATGTTTTGAATTTACAACTAGGGGGGAAAAAATCAAGAAAAGACTGCAGTTTGAGAGAACAGCAGAACACCAGCAGAGGACAAGCAGGTGATTCAGAGACTGGAGGGCACGCAGCAGGAGTGTGGACTGTGCCCCGTCGCCCCGCCAGCCACACGGCCCCAGTCAGGAGGGTCTGCTCTCCTGCAAAACCTCCATTTGAAGAAGGCAGCGTTTCAGGAACCTGGTCATTAAGTCTTAGACTGAAAGTCCACCTCCATCACTGCCGACCTGGGCACCCTTGGGAAAATCCCTCCCGTTTGCTAAAACTATGACGGGCTGCTCCGGAGCCCCGCTCCCATCTGGCCCCCACTCCCGGCCCATCCCCCTCGGCCTGAACTCCACTCCGACTCTGCAGTCCTGAGAGCACAGCCTGGACCCCGGACCCTCACTGGCGAGTGCCTGCCGAGTCCTTCCTCCCTCTGCCCAAGGCCCCACCCGGGATCTGTCTCGGCACTCCCAGGTCACCTGTTCACACTGTCTGGCGACAGACCAAGCACTCTGTCCAAAGTACTCGGTCAGACCCACCACCAAACACTTCTTTGGAAAATAAAACCACTCCTGTTCTGGTTTCACCCTCCATGAGCTTCTGGAAGCACCTGTCTCTGCCGGCCTTCCTCGGCCGCCTGTCTGCCTTCTTCCCTCGACCTCCTAGAAACGACACCTCTCGGTTCTCCGTCCGTTTTCCAGATTTTGCTTTCCTGGTGATGTCCCCTCATTCCCTTTCCTTTAAGGAATTCCTTAAGTTCTATTCTATCCCCAAGGTTCCATTCTTAGGCCTAGGTTTTAGCCTGCTAAGTCCATAAAATTTTCACGGATGATTTGACACTCCATACCCACTTTTTTTTTAACTTTCAATTTTTGAGACACTTGAAAATGCACCTGTACTTGTAAGAAATAATACAGAGTGATCCGGAATATCCTTCACGCAAGCGGTAACATCTTGGATGGTGACAGTACAGTATCACAATCATCACTGAGACAACGCATCAGGATTCAGAGTTCACTAGTCTTACATACACTCATTTGTGTGTGTGTGTGTGTGTGTGTGTGTGATTCTACGCAGCTTTATCACACGTAAAGAAGACACACCCGCATCTTGACTCATCTTCCAAGGCCTAGGGAGGGGCTCTTGTCATCCAGGGAGAAGGGTGGTGGAGGGGGACACGCGCAGCCTCCCAAGTCCTGACAACACCCACACACTCTCCGGCGGGCCCTCTGCTCTGAGATCAAGTCTCACGCTGTGGCTCGCAAACTCCCCTCTTTCTTCGTGAAGCCCTCCTAATCTGGAACACTCTACCAGTGCCTTGCAAAGTCTGCCCATCCTTCCAGGTCTGGCTTAAGTCCTCCGTGGAAGCCCCCAAGGTGCTCCAGGGCCACATGTGAGTCCCTCTGCCTTAATCCTGTCTCTCCCATGAGATGAAAGCTCCTTGGGGACAGAAAATGAACTGGTTTTGTGGGTTCTCTGGGTCTGAGACATGCAGGTCCTCAATAATACAAAATTTAACCAGGATGGGACAAGAAGGGGGAGGAGAACAAAAAAGGACAAGAAACAAAGAAGGAAGAATTTGCTATCACAGAAACCTCTAGAAACCCGGATTTCAGCACTAGATTTTTAAAAAATAACACAGCAAGTGTGAACACAAGGCTGCCACCTTCCCTTTCTTGCTCATGGTAATGAATATTCTGGAGACTCTTACCCTCTTCAACAGTAAGCAGGTTGCCCAGCTCTGCTGATGAAGGATACTGAACCGGCTCAGAATTCTTCACGTTGGCCAGGGGCAGGAAGGGGTCGTAGTCCGTGGATGACAGGTCAGCCAGCGTCAGGGTTTTGTGGCTCTGTTGGGTGTATGTGCTCGAGCCACAAACGCAGCAGTGCAAAACCTGCCAAAAACAGAAGGGAAGGTGCGTTGCGGGTGCCGCCAACCTCCTGTCTCCTGACGATCTGTCCAACCACAATGGCACTTAGGTAGGCCTCCGGCCTGGTAATTCCTGAAAACATGGAATCCTTCCCCTCTAGAACGCCTTCCTGCTATTAGCAAGTGTATCTTGCTCCTTTCACGTCAATGTCAGTAAGTAAAAGGAAAGGAAACGTCAACAAGAGCTTATTTCCCTATTCTGTGCAGTCAGTCCTGCTCTGGTCCACAGAGGCAGCACGAGGGCAGGGAGCCCAACCAGGAGATGCGGACCAGCCGGGGGATGAGGACCAGCCAGGGGATGAGGACCAGCCAGAGGAATGAGGACCCAGCCGGGGAATGAGGACCAGCCAGGCGAATGAGGACCCGGCCCGGGGATGAGGACCAGCCAGGGGAATGAGGACCCAGCCGGGGGATGAGGACCAGCCAGGGGAATGAGGACCCAGCCGGGGGATGAGAACCGGCCGGGGGATGAGCTGCAGATAACCCACCACCCAGGCTGGAAGGCAGAGAGGGAGCAATTAGCAGAGACCCTTAGCCTAGCTGATAAATGTTAATGAATCTGAATTTGTGTAACTCACAACCCCATGACTTGGAAGAGCTAATACAATTTTTAAAAGTATAATTAATGCAATAAATTTAATACAAATTAGTTTCCTGAAAGCTCACTGCTTGTTAACCAATTACCGTTGACTGAAGGCCTGTAAGCCAGGCACACAAACCATCTTGAGTATGCCAAAGCGTATAAATGAGCTAATAACTGTACTAAAGTTTACTTTTTTAAATCGTAAATTCAAGATCATTAATTCAAAAACCTGATTTTTATGAAGACGAGGATAGCACTTTAGAAACTAAGGAAAGATCACTTTTGGGGACCTGCTCTGATCTGCCCCAGGCAGGACGCCGTGGGGTCAGGCTGGGCGTCTCCCGAGTTAGTTCCCTCTACCTGTGTGGCCTCGTGGGGACTGGAGGAGGATGGAGGCACATGTGGCCTTTGGACACGGCTGAAAAGTACTGCAGTCAGCAGGGGACAGTCACCTGGACACCTCTTCCCAAGAAAAAAGCTGTCTAGGAAACTTAGGGTAGCTTTCTTATTAATATAAAATTTGTTTTCCAGTCTTCAAGAGAATTAATTTCTTTAGTTAAATGCCATAAATATAAGAAATACAAATTCAAACCACAATGCAATACCACTGAATTCCTGCCAGACGCGAACAGTCAGCAAGAATGTGGAGCGGCCGCAGTTCGCAGACACCGCTGGTGACAGTGGACATCTGCACGCCACTCTGGAAGAGCACCAGGCGCCCGCTACTGCAGCAGAACACGCGGATTCCAGAACTCCACTCCCAGGTGCACGCCCGGCAGAAACGCATACACGTGTGAACCAAAGGACTGTGACTCCCAGGGGACGGTATGAGTCCACACGGTAGCCACAGCCCTGACAGTGGTCACTGGGGTGCGTGCGGAGCAGACACAGTGGGGCTCCTGGGGTCTGGGGATGCTCTGTTTCTAGACCGGGACCTGGTTTGGTGGGTGTGCTCATGTTGTGAAAACCCACCAAGCTCTCACTTATGACTGACGGGTGCACTTTCCTGGGTGCAGATTACACTTCAACAAAAAAAGGTTTCCTTTAAAAATACAATAAAGAATTATTCAATAAATTTATGTATCACGTTAACTATAAAGTACTTGTTATATTGGTAAAGCAATTTTAACAGAAATGTTTTAAGAAAAGAGAGGCTAGAAAAGAGAAGAATTTAAATGACTGTGGCTACTTCAGCTGGTCAAGCCATCTAGGCTTCTAACACACCAGGATGACAGAAGAATGGCTCATCTGAACACAGCTACTACAATATTTGACAACTGAAGAAACCATTTAACAATACGTAATACTTTTTGGTAGAATTTCAACCATGACTAAGTGAGTTTGTTTTTTTTTTTTAATTCACTTTAAAGTGAGGCAACAAAGTGATCAACTAATGACTTGGAAATCTTTTTAAAAAACTATTGTTAAAGGTTTCTTACTACAAAAATAAGCAACAGGATTGTCCCTACTTAATAGTAATTATTCAAACAACACACAGATAATAGGCAGACAGACAGGTAGATAGACAGATGGACAGACAGACAAAGGCTTTCACAGGACGGGCTGTGAGGCCTGTAAGGAAGGCTGGTATAAAGGGTCCAGAGCAAGCGCCACAGCCGGTCAGCAGGCGGCGGTGAAATTCGAGTGTTTTAAGTGCTGTGAGATCGATGAGGCTGATTGCTTTGATGTGATATACTGTCTTTCCTTAATTTATACCCTAAGATTTTTTAAAACAGATTAGGGGGACCATTGTACGTTTTCTTCCTTTGATTTTGTCAAATGAAGGCTATGGCTATTCCTACGATATAAACGGTTCCTTTCAAAATAAAGCAGGTACCGACCAGGCTCCACGCACAAGGGGCCCTGAGCGCAGTGCAGCCGGGTCCAGACGGCAGAGGAACGCGAGCCTCGCGCGCCGGGGAGGTGCGGCCACTCTATGACCACAGCTGCTCCGTTTTCACTCCAGAAGTCATTCCTTTCCTTTAAAATGTTTGCCCCCCAAAATCCTTGCCGAAAAGGCAAAGATAAGTAAATAAATGCAGAAAACACGGTCCGATGATTGTGGGATGTGTAGGTGCGCAGTCGGCGCCCCCGGGGCACAGGGGAGACTCACCCTGTAGACGTAGTCCAGCAGGGGGGCTCGGGGCGAGGGCTGCTCCAGGGCCGCCGTGCACACCGGGTGGAGGAGGGCGCTCAGGGGCAAGGCCATGCACCAGTCCAGGAGGCAGAGCAGCAGGGACACGATGAGCTGGAGAGGAGGCAGACCCTGCGCCTTACTCTGCAGCCTCTGCAACCCCCCACGTGTTCCCTACCAAGGACCACAGCACTGCCCCACGTGCCAGCAACGCCCAGGACATACGCGTGCGGAAGGACTGAGCTTGAATTATCTAGGATAAATTGTTTACCATTTATTCTTATTTACAATGAGCAAGGGCTTCACAGGGAGGCCGTGAGGCCCAACACAGAGGGCACGACAAAGGCCGCCCCTCTGTGGGGTATGGTCTACCGCTGTGTCTCGTATTTCCCCCAACTCCAGGGGAACCTCAGCTCGTGGGCTGCTTACCTTCTTATCGGCTTCCACTGAGGAGTGCTCTGCACTGGGCAACAGAAAAGCAATTGTGGCCACAAGGATCTGTGCCAAAGACAAATACCCAGTCAAACAGACCGTAGTGAGGATTTTGGGAGCCATGTATGCAATCGGAGTCCCGGGATGGCCCTGCCACTGAGCCCAGCCTGGTGCCAACTCCTAGAGGAAGCTGACAAAAAGCCAAGAGTCATTTTAGAGGTGTGTGTGCTCCTGAAAACCAGCAGAAGGCAATGGGGCCAGGCTGGTGGCAAAATCAGGGGCATCAGAGAAAGGAGTATGTCTCTCTGGACTCACACAATTTCCATCATCGGTCTCCAGGCTTTTCACAATGAAAGCAAAAAACACTTCCAAAAATAATTAAGAAAATGCTCCCGTTTGATAATTTTCTTGTAAATTACTCTGGGTCCCTGTCCGCCTATGGTCCCGGGGGAACAGCACCCTCTTCATTCCTACAGGTGTTTCCATGTAGGTGATAAATTATACAGCTGCCCTAAAAACCCGACTTGACTTTCTGCAGCATCTTATACTCCTATTGTCCGAAGCTCTACCTCAGTCTAGGTCCCTCAAGGTCGAAAATCACTCGTGATTTCTGACGGCTCTCCGAGAGAACAAAGTGACCTCACCGGTGAAATTTATCTAGGGCCGAGAGAAAAATCAATATCACATCTTCTCTCTCCCTGAGATACCACGTCTGGATGTGTACACAGCAGGGCGTGTTTAAAGAAGCGCAGCTACAGAAGCCGGCGGGGATGCGTGCGCCTCACCACTAGGGTCCTGCTTCTGCACCAGCCGGCGCCCCCCGACAGCCCTGACCTCGGGGGCACGCTCGCTGAGAAGACCCTTCCCGTTCCCTCTCTTCCACCAACTACCCCACAGAGGGGTGCGAGTCGCAATTTCGTTACAGCTGGGTAATCACGCTGCGGCAGAGCAGGGCCCTGTTTTACACAGCAGCCCCTCCCCGCCCCCCGCACACAGGGCATCGCAACCAGCTGCCTGCTCCTCGTTGGCACCATCCAAATTACTCGGGATGAATGAGGCCCAGTCTACAAAAGGCCTCTTTGTTGCGGTCGTGTCTGCCTTTCCAACCCCGCCACTGTAAGACTGCCCTGGAACACTGGTGGCTTCTTACGCAGGGCCTGGAATCACAGCTGAGAAGAACCAGGGCAATTTAATCTTAAAATGGGTGACTCGCGTGGCAATTTAACAGTCGGCCCTCTAACAATTGTTTGAGTATCCATAGTTAATTAAGTATCAAATATAATCAGAGGAAACGCTTGTGTTCTAGCATTACAGGAGGAAGACTTACTTCTGCAATTTTCCGAGGCAGAGAGGTTTCAAAGACCTGAAGCTTTTCCCAGTAGGAAACCAGCAGCTGAAGGACGTCACAGGCTACCTGGGCCACGATTTTGTTAGGAAACTGTGAAAACAGACAAACAAAAAACCACACATCCCCAAGCTAAACAACCTCACTTAGCACGGACGCTATTCCCAAAGAAGAACAAAGTAGTTCTTTCCCTCCAGCACTGTTTAGGGATGCATATCCTGGTTCTGCATTAAATGTAAGAAAAGTGCATCCTGTTCCCAGACGGTCTGTGCATGATCCCCGTTCTGCAACTGCCTCTGTCTGGACTGGACTGGACTGTGTTAATGTCCATAACGTTCTACAGAAACATGTCACCATCGTGCAGTCACCTGGAAAGTAAAGCCACAACTTCAAGTACCTTATTCAGATCACATAAATGACAGTTCTGGCAACGGGGGGAAAATAAAACATAGTACATTGTTGAGCATCTCCTGGGTGCCAGACCTTTTCCAAGAACTGACTCATTTTCACATTGATAATTCTGCACTGACAGCTCTGAAGGTACACATTCCCTTCATTTTACACGTAAAGAAATGAGAATGGACCCAAAGACTTTCTATACTATGACATTAAACTTAACATACAACTGTAACATTCTAAGAAATGCTAGAAACGTGGCACTATGGGAACAGAATTCAAAGTTACGTAGATTCAATAACTGAGTATGTTTTCTGGGTCTGGCGTGAGTCCAGGGTCCTCTTCCATTTCTTGTGAGACAGCATGTCAAGGGGACGGTCCCTGGAAGGACTGCTGGCTGGGGATGTGTGAAAGGGATGACGATATCCTGACCATGGTGGGCCTCTGCCCATTCCTCAAACACTCTGCCTTATTCCTGCCTCAGGGCCTTTGCACCTGCTCCTTGCTCCACCTGGGACACTCACTCCCCAGGTCTGTATTTGGTTGGTGCTGCCACATCTTTCAGATCATGGCACCAGATGTCCTCTCCCCCGTGAGGCCACCATGCCTGTCCAAAGGTGTGGGGCCCACCCCCTGCAGCCCTTCGGTTTCATCCCACTGCCCTGTGGAGTTTCTGTATTGCACTGAGGGCTATCAGAGCTGAATGTCCCTGCTTGTCTGCTTGTTCTTTTGTGTTTGTTTCCCCACATCTTGTTCACCATCATATTCCTAGTGCCTGGCCCACCCCTGAGGGGGTCTGAGGGGAAGATGGAACACGAAGGGAGAGGAGGAATGGGAGTGGGCACTGGGTGTGTTTCTGCTGCATCTCAGCAGTCAAGTCATGGGGCTGAAACAAGGCTGGCATGGCTCTTCCTGCTGAGCTGGAGACAGACAAGGTGACCGTGGTGACATGAAGGGAGTGGCAGACAAGAAAGACAAGAGGGCTGTGGACAGAGAAGGATGAGGCTGGAGAGTTGGGGACAGACAGCAGAGAGATGGCCCCGCAGAGCAGGGAGGGTGGGCTGAGCCTAGGGGAATGCAGGGGCGGACAGCACCCTTCCAGGCAGCGGGCCGGGCACAGGCACAGAGGCAGGCAAGGTCGCTGTGTGTTACTGACACATGGAGCATTTCGGGGCACGTGGGGAGGAAATCACCCACTCACTGGCTCACCTAGCGCAGGTTCACGGAGTCCCCACCACATGCCAGCACTGGACTGAAAGCACAGGGGACAAGGCGTACGGGGCGAGGCAGTCCCTGCTCTGAAGGAGCTGACAGCTCAGGGCAGTAGGCAGGTCCACGCTGAATGCACTGGTCCGTGAGGCATGGGGTTAGGCCTATCTGTGGATGGACCCCTCTGGCAGCCACATGGACCAGAACTGAGGGTCCAGACTAGGGGCCGGCTGTGTAAGGATGGCCCTGGGGCAGCAGGTGGGAATGAGGAAGGCTGTTCAGGACTCTGAGGCCAGGACGGGCGGTGGGGAAAGGAGGGGAGACGGTCATGATGGCCCCTCAGATGGGCTGGGAGAAGGAGCGGCTGGTGGGCTGAGGGCCGGGGCTCAGGTCAGGCCCCTCTCAGTCGGGGTGCCTGGGAGGCAGGGTCAGGAAGCCTCCAGAGCCTGAGCTGACATTTCCACCCCAGTGCTGTCAGCCCACGTCCTGGGCAGAAGGCCGGAGTCTAAGTATGGCTCCAGCCGAGAACAAAGCACCCCCTCCCCACCACCCACATGCTGTCCCACCAGAAACAAAATCTCCGGTGGCTGGGCAGTACCTGTTCCCTCACTCCTGCGGCCACAGGCTGGTTTTTATCCACAGCCCCGGGGAGCATCTCCCTAGACTGCTGCCCGCGCCCTTCCCACACTGAGGGCACAGTCACGGCCAGGTCAGCCTTGCCAAGTGCTCCTGGAGGCGCGGCCACAGCAGAGCAGTGCCCAGAGCGGGGCGGGGCCCACAAGGCAGGGAGCCCCACCCCTGGGCCTCCAGCTCCTGCCGCCCCAAGGCCGGCCTGGGCCTCCCGCTCCTCTCCCTGCGCTCTCTTACGCTTAACGGGAGACCGATGTGACTGATCCCGGTCCCCTGACTTCTCAGCAGCTCAGGCTGTGGCAGGTTCCTGGGCCTTCCGCTTAGTCGCCCTCTCTGTTATTTCTAGAACGGGCAGAGCGGAGGCGTCTACGGGGGGAGGAATTCGACGGGACGGTCCAGGCCCGGTGCTGGGACCCCCAACAGAGCAGGGGCTCAAAGCATGGCAGGTACATTCTGTTCTGGGTTTTTTTTTTGCATAATTACAGAAAAATTAAAGCAGTTTTTGAAAATTTATAGGAATACTAAGACAGATCTGGCCCAGCGGGAGGCGAGTGCCCAGCAGGTGGCAGCTCTTCTTACCGACAAAGCGAAGGGGGAAGGACCCCCTCCAAGTGCCCGGGGCCCAGCGGACATGCGCTGGGGCGGCCACCCAGGAGCTATCCCGTCTCTCTCAGTCCTGCTGAACAGGCAAGGGCATGACATCCCACCTCCTGGTCACTCCGGCCAGCAGCGGACAGGCGTCCTGCTGACCACAGGAGCTGCCAGCCACCAGAGGAACCCCACTTGGCCCCTGGGCTTGGTCCACGGAGCTCAGGCTGTGGGCGGCCAGGCTGCAGCTGCCAGTGGGGAAGCAGCCATTGGAGGCCCCTCCCGGGACCCTCACAGGACGGTCAAGGTGGCTCTCAGAAAACAATTCTTGTTTGTTTAAAAAAGAAAGTCCTATTTATTTATTTTGATAGAGGTACCGGGGATAGAACCAGGACCTCATGCATGCTAAGCACACGCCGTACCAGTGAGCTATACCCTCCTGCCCAGAAAAATAATTTTGACTCGAAATCTCTCTGTAACGTAAGGGAAAACAGAGATCAGGCTAATTTGAACTAAAACGGTTGGACAGCTGGGATGCAGCTTAGCATCCAACGTGCAGGGTGAACTGGCAGTACCTTCAAAGTGACACCAATGACGTTGACAGCCTCCTTCAGCTGAGGGTGGCCTGTGCGCTCCGCGAGCTCCTCACATATCCAGACCCCCAGGGAGCAGATGGCGATGCATCTTTCGAAAAAGAAGAAAATCTCTCAGGAAATGTAATGCATTTTCTTAGTATTGTCAAATGACAAAATATTTCACATCTTGTTTACAAAGTCGCAAAAATTACAGATACGTTAACAAAATGTCTTCTTGAGAAAAAGATAAGGTACCCTCAACAGACCAGTTTTCAGGACAAATAGAAATATTGGTAGTGGTTAGTAATTAAATATTTAATGAAATAGATGGTATGTATTGTCATAGCACACATACCACTTATTTTTGCTGAAATTAATTTTTTTTCATTGTATTGCTTCAAGGTAATTTTGAGGGAGAATCAGAAATACGAATCTTGGAAAATTGTTAGGAATTGAATTTGTAACTGGTCTCTTTATACAATAAAACACACAATGCCTATCACAAACAGTAGACACATCCTATATTTTAGAGTAAAGAATATCTGAGTAATAACTTTTAAAATAAGTTTTAGTCTTATTTATTTTAAGCAACGTGTTGAGACAAAATATTCTTTGTAAGTTGCACAGCCCTTTAAAAATTACCTTTCTCAATTACAGATCAATTTTAAATGTTAATTCTCTTTGGAACTGACGTATTCCACTACCTTCTGCAATGATCAAAAAGTCATATTCTTCTGAATTTTTTCTGAATGCCCATATATAAAATTAAAATGCTTGCTCCCCAACCTGCTCACTTGCAGAACAAAAAGGGTCTTCAAACCACTACTTGGAACGAGATGTTCGCTGTAACGCGTATACACTGTTCTTCGGAGTAAGAGGTCACATCGCGTGCCCATCAAACCCGACATACTGCATGGCTCTCCACACCCACCGTCCCTTTGTGGCCAATATAATTCAGCAATTAAAATCAATCTTTCTTGAGGTTCTAGAACCACCACATTTCACTGGCTTCTCACCTCTTTAAATCAGAATGGACTGCGTGCTTCAGAACAAGTTAATTAAAAACCCTTGGCGACCACGACACCTTCTACCAAAATGCACCCGGTAAAGGGGTGTGACTCCGCCCCAAGAGGCGCCGGGCACCTGCTGTTTCTCCAGCACCAGGGTCACGCAGGAGGAGCCCCACGCGACTCCAACCCTCGGCCTTCCCAGCTCCAGGCAGCTGTCTGCATCTCTCTCTTCTCTGGCCTAACTTCCGCTCTCGCTCTCAGTCTAGAAACCGCACTTTGCATCTTAGTTTGCGGTCATCCCCATGTACCCTGTGTTCTTTCAAAAAGCCTCTTTACTTTCCCCCAGCTTAACGCAGACTCTGGTTGTTCAACCCACTAAAATCTATATAACTTGGAATTATGCCCAGAATCCTATCTTTACGATTTTAAGAGTCGCTCTTCCTTTGTGTGCGCGCGTGTGTGTACATATGAGTGTGTGTTCTCGTATTTTTTTACAATCCATTAACCTATTTGTTAAGTGTAATTTGTCAGGAGCAAAGATCTCTCATTTCTAGGAACACCTGCATTTCTCTGTCACTGTTAGCCTTGCACCATGGAGAGCACTGCGACCCGTAAAATGGTTTTATAACCTAACCTGCTCTCACCTGCCTTGAGTCTTAAGCCACACTCGTGTACAACAGCTCTTCCCTGCAATTTTCTCTCTTTGAAATTCGTCATGTAACATTTCCATTTAGCGTCGTCCTATTCTGACACGTGCAGTCACCCCTCACGGCTAGGAGCTCCTGTCAGTCAGGGCTCTCTGTACCCCAAGGATGTCCTTTGTGATTGTGACTGAGTTTTATCTAACAAGACTCTTTTTCAACCCAATGGCAATTAACACTGTTTGCTACTATGCTATCTCATAGCACTCCAATTTATGAAACAAAAACTTACTATTTTGTCTTAACTTTAAAAAACTGTCATTCACAATCATAAGTACACTTCGCTATATTCTCTCTCCGCTCTCCCCCATTTATTTGAAGCCGTGACCGTATTTCAGTCTGCTTGCTTATCTGCCTTCATACGACTTAGTTTCACTGCCTAACTCCTCTTACACAGCTAAGACAGACGGACCACAGCATACACACTTCTATTCCACTTCAACGCCACAAAATTTGGTTTTCTACTCTAAAGCAAAAGGGGAGGAAAGGGTACTGCCAAGACTCACTGAAAATTTTAATATAGTGAGTGTGGGTAAAGGAGGAATCAAAGATTTTCCCCAAGTTTCTGGACTGAAAATCTGGGAAGGCCCTGAGACGAAGTCAGGACAGTTAGGCTCCAGGGGCAGGTGCGGACTCACGGCTTCAGCTGCGCTTGTGTTAAGTCTGGGTGTGCTGATGCTGGCAGACGCAGCCAGAATGTTTGCAGACACTCTTGAACGTCTCCTGAGGTACAAGACAATCCCAGTGGAGGACGGCTAACTCACGTATCCACTATTTCTGCAAGTTTTGGTTTATCCTCCCTGATTAAAAATACCAGGGAATAAGTGTATGTATTTATAACCTTGCTTTTTCTTACCCAAAAGGGAGCACACCATAGAGAGTCTTCTGCACCTTCGTCCCTTCACTTAACAATGGCACCTTTGAAAAAGTTAAGCAAAGCATTTTCCCGACATAGCCCTTACTGGACTTTCCAGTGTGCGTAAGAGTAATGTGGCGGAATAAATGGTTTTAACATTCACTGATTACATATAAATGTGTATCTTAAAATTCTAAGCGTTTACCTGGCGTTCAGCACTTACCTGGCACATTCATTTGGCTCCTCTGTGGCATTCTTCAGTAGGATACTTATGAGGTAATGCTAGAAACACAAGACGAAGCGAAATAAAAGCTCTGCTCAGTAGTTGACTCCCCACATGTTCTGTCCATGTTCCAGGCAGTCAGGGTCTCCTGAAGCACTGGGGTGAGTGCTCTGGAGAGGCCCCCCCACCCCAGGGAGAATGTGGAGAAGGACGCGGGGCGCCGGGGGGGCGGCAGGATGGTCTCCATTGGGGCTTCTCTGGGCAGTGACGCCAGGTGTACAATGAACGCTGGCGAAGCGACGAGACTCCCCGACAGGAAAGCCTCGGTTTTCCTTGCCTTTAATTGGATGACACCTTGTGCACTGAATTCCATGTTGCAATTGAGTGCTGTAGCTAGATTAACTGACTCTGGGATTTGAAAAGCATTTTCATTGGCCCCAAAGTCAGTTGAGGAGAGAATGTTTACTTTCATTCTCCAAGGACTAATTTGGAATTTCAAAATCTTAGCAATATTTAATCAGGCCAATGATGGGGCGGAATACTGAGTTTATTTCAAGCACTTCCTATAAACTCATTTGATGCACTAATGCAGCATAATTAAACTGATAAAAATCATTACAAAGAACGGTTCATTACATGCTTATGATTCGTAGGCATCAGAAGCAGATCTCATTAAAAAACACCTGCGGAACCGAAGCATCAGTTACAAGTGCGACATGCTCTCAGTGCAGCTCATTCAGTCCCTCTTCACAGCCTCCTAAAGAAGCAACTACTGACACATTTAAACGCGCAGCACAACTTTCAGGGACAACAGCACAGTGCGTAGGAGTGGAAGAGAGAACCACAGGCTGGAACTGGAAGGCGCTAAACCTGAGATTCAGATTCGGTCAAACGCAGTCCGTACCTTGACATCTTCTGTCCCAGGGACGAGGTCAGTCACCTCCGGTACTGACTGCAGCAGAGGGATCTCCCGGTAGGTATTTGGAAAGCAGACCAGAGACCCGAGAATGGTGAGAGCTTCTGGACGAGGTGCCTGCACGCAAAACAGGGAGTGAAACACACGTTTTCCTTTTTGTTAGGGACGTCTGACAAGCGACAACATGTTTTACGTTTGTATGATTGTGAGAGGGAACCTTTATCATTATTTTATCCTAGATAATAAATATCAAACTATGCCTGGTTACTTCCCCCCAGGTGAATGCTTAAGCGAGAGAGGACGACCCAAATGCAGAAGCAAACTTCCAGGGAAGGGAAAGTATCCCTCCCCTTGGCTGGAAACAAGCAGGGTGAGGACTGCGCCGCGGACTCGCTCAGCGTCAGGAACGCAAGTCCGGCTCAGTCCTGACTGCTTCACCTTTCTCTGTTCTTTTATCTTATTGTTCTTGACAAAGGAGGGCAAACTGGTAAATGGTATCAAGTAAATATTTTCCCGTAAAGACAGTTCATGAAAATTCCCCAGGGAAAGGGGCTCTAGCTTTCGGGAGGGGGAAGAGAAAAGACACCAGCTACCGAATCTCCTGCTTCCACAGGAGCTACTCGGCCAACACCCAGGTCTGACCTCCGGTGAGACCCAGAAGCCCCCATTTGTCCGTTACTGGGATTCGGTGCCCGCTCAGGGAGGCACTTTAATTTAGTAGCTCTCAATTCAGCCGACTTACTAGAAGCTGTGACTGGCCAAGACAGGGGGAGGAATCAGAATGACAAAGCTGTCATCCGACACCCACCCGCCTGTCCATCCACCCCTCTGTCTACTTATTATCCTCTAGTAATGATGAAAACTATGGCAGCTGAGTCCTCACCCTGCTCTGGGCACGGTTCTGAGAGCTGTACCAGCACCTCCTCAGACAATGCCCTCCACAGCCCAACGAAGTGGACAGACACTATGACCATTTCCATTTCACAGGTGAGAAAACTGAGGCTCAGACAGGAAGCAGCCTTTCGAGTGATGGACCCTGATTGGAACCGAGGCCTCTGACTTCATGGTCCACAGCAAGCCTGGACTGTCACGCACGCAGGTGTGACACGGGCGTTCCCCTCTCTCAGGGAGATGGGGGCAAGTGCGCGGGGTCGGGCTGGGGAGGCACATGACAGCGACATGAAAGTCAATGATGCACGTGCTGTAAGAGCCCCACCCGGGGACGTCACGGGAGTCCAGGACATTCGTTCTTTCTGCGCTTGGTTCTCATCAGCACACAGGCGAGTAGGAGACAGTATAGAACACAGACAGAGAGTCCAGGAAACAAGTTGAGACGATGCTATGCTCTGCTCAGCGTGGTGAGGAAGCACTGAAACCCTGCCGCCAAGGCCACTGGTGGAGTGGGACTCAGCCAGGCAGGTGAAGAGGGAGGGCTGGGCTGAGGAGGCAGGCGGGGGTGGAAAAGACACAGGTGGCCTAGACACCACAAACTGTCACCGGCCCCGTGCCCAGAGCCCAGAGCACGCAAGTGTGCGGGCTGGGCCTGGGGCTCTGACGCAAGCACGGGCGACAGTGACGGCGGCTCTGTGCAAGCATCGGCATCGGGGTGAGGTCACCTTTTGTTCACTGTCTTATTTCATTTTTTAGATACAAAAACTTGAAACAACTACAGCAAGACATCAAGATTTGCCAAAGCAGGTCAGAGAGCACACAGTTTCTCGTCACGTGAGCTCCACAATGCAAAAGCCACCGGTGGCCTCCAGACCTGGTTGCAGCCGACCCTGGCAGTGGCTCGGATGCGGCTGACAGTGTCCTGGTGCCTGGGAGCACCGCCGTCACGCGGCTTCTTGGATACCTTTCCAGGTTCCTGAGGAGGCCCAACATCGCCAGGCTGGAACCTCTCACTTCCTCGGGACCTAAACTCCAGGATGCTCAGCCCACTCCTCTTCTCCAACTATGCTCACTCCTCAGGGACGCCTGGACCCGCGGACTGAAACGCCTTCTGCGAATGCCGACTCCCCAGCGCATCGCTCTAGCCCAGGCTTCCTTCCCGAGGACCCGATCTGTGGCTCCGTCTCCACCGGGGGTCCAGAGGGCCTCTCGCTCTGACAAGCGCCATCTCAGCAGAGGCCTGCAATCCCGTGTGTTGCTAACCTGCCTCCATCACTCTGCCCTCCCATCCACTGCCTTTACCTCTCTCCACACTCAGGTTAAGAAAATCTCTGAACAGAAAAGTAGAGAGAATCTTATATCCATACACCCAACACTTAGACTCCAGACCTTACGACTCGTCTCGTTTATCTCCTTTCCAGTTTTTCATTTCAGTATTTAAAATTCATTTAAGTTTCCACTTTCAGTTTTAGAGCAAATTCAAGACACAGTGTCTCCCACCCGGTGCCCTCTGGCACCCCTGCGTCCCTGCTTTGGGTTTTCCCTCCTCATCCATCGCTCCCTGACGTGCTGTGTATTCGCTGGATGTTTGCGTCCCCCACGAAGGCAGGAGCTAGGCAGCCCTCATCACGTCTCTCCCCCCAAGCATGCCCAGTGAAACCACCTGGACACAAAGGGGTGGCTGCGGTCCTGTCGCCGGTGGAAGCCAGCCACGCACAGGCTCTGTGTCAGCTTCACCTCCTCCGTGAAGACGCTTCTCAGGGACGTCTCCCTCTCGTCATGCAGAACTAACGAGTCCCACACTGGTGCCCCCACCCCGGGTTCTGGGGGTGATCCTACTGGGGCAGCCGGAGACTCATGTGCAAATATTAACACTTGGTTTGCCCGTCTGATTCCTGGAGGGTCGAAACCCTGTCACACTCACGCAGGCAGGCCCTGACACGTAGCAGGACCACAGTCCGTGTTTCTCCAACAGACTTGTTTGTCGGCCTTCGCTCACAGCTGCCCTCTACCCACTAGGTCGTCTGGGTCTGAGCTTCACCGAAGCTGCCTGCTTCCTGAGCAGCCTTAACTGTGGCGTCCTGTGTGAGCCTGGCTCACACCGTGGGCCTCCAGGCTGAGCGCTGGACTCTGCAACCACTGGGCACAAAGCACCGGCTCTCACATACGTAAAACAAAGAGCTGCTCCACGGCTTCATGCAAAGGATGGAACAAACCTGATCATGTTTTGGCCTCGGCACTGAGCCCACAGTCAGCCCCAATTTACGCCCAGAAGAATGAGGCCTGTGTGCGGAAGTGTGTCGCCCAGGACAGGTGGCTGGTACTGGTGCTGCGGGCATGGACCCCAGGCCAGACTGGACGGAGCTCCAGCATCAAGAATCGGAAGGGAATTCCAGGCAGCACCCGCCTCATGTGCACACCACAGTGCCCCTGCTGTACGCCGGGGACCTCTGGGTTGGTTCTGGTCTGGGGCTCTTACGAACAGTGCCCGCGAGCACAGACCCCACCGCCTCCGGGTGCCGTGAGCCCGTGTTTGCCCTCCCTCGACCGCAGCTGCAGGTGCGCAGCGGGGGCACCCCAAGCTCGCAGTCAACTTGCGTGAACCGGCAATTCTGATAGGGCGGGTGTGCCCCGTCGCAACGCCTCTCTCCAGCTCCTTTATAACTTTAAGCCTCCACTTTAAACTAAGAGAGTAATTCAAGGTAATTCCAACCATCACTGTTTCTTTATGTAGCTCTTACATTCATGTTCTCATATACTTTTCTCTCTCTTTAAAAAATGTTTTTAAAGGCTACTTTAACAGCTCATCTCGCCCGAAGGTAAACTGTTCACAGAGGATGTCCGCCACACGTGGTACCACCGCTAACCAGAGCGCCGTTCTTACAGGAAACTCTCAGAGCAAGCAAAGGCCGTGCCAGTAAAGTATGATTTCCCTTCCTACATCCTGTATGTTTTTTCAATGCTGATTTGAATGGTTAAAAATAAATTTGAAAGTTCTTTGAGAATGATTACCCTAAAGCCTTTCTGAGAAATAAGCACAGAAAGTTGTCACAGTCTTCACCAAAAAACAGCCAAACAAACGCAGTATTTCCCGTCTTGCTTTTCTTCCGCCCGTTCTGCCCTTTGGCTCCGGTCTCTTTTCCCTGCTCCTTTGCTTTCTAATTTATCCTTCTAAGAAAAAGCTAGCACATGAAAACACCAGCATGAAACACCAGCCGCACAAAGTATAGGAAAACAACTTACATTTACAGCCCAGGGCTGGAGCCTGAATGTGCCCTGCCCAGAGGAAATGCGTAGAATGAAAAAATAACAATGCGTCAAACCAAGTTTAGGTAGCTGGACCCTCACTGATTTCAGTGCAAGTCCCCGGCAGGCAGTAAAGCTAGTTTTATATCCATTCTGAGAGGGAAGAAATGATCTGAACAGGTTAACAGCTGTACAGACGTGATGGCCCTTTAATAAACGTGTGAGAGTGTTCTCTCAAAAGGCATGAATACACTGTCCTCATAATGGAGGTAAACGTGGAGATTACAAATTAATTCCTTTCGTAGCCCTTAATGCTCATTTAGTCCACTTGATTCTAATTTTTAAGCACAAGAACTCTGCCAGAATTTTACGGCATGTTGATAAGAAAATTACATTAACTTTGTGGTTACAATTTCAGTGTTCTAACATTTTAAGAAAGTATTTCCTATTAGGCTTATAATAGCTAAGACTTAGTTAATTAAATGAAACATTATTGATAACGCACACCTAAAATTCTCTCTTTACTGCAGACATCTATGTCCACGCCACCATTTACTGAAAGATGCTAATAAGAGTCTGAGGCGGGTCCCGCCTCTGACTGTGTAAATGTGCTGAAATACGAGAGAGGACACGATTCTCACACTCTGGCCTCTTGATGAAACGCCTTTCCAATACCCGGGTGTCATCCTATCCTACAATTTCACACATCAGCTGCCAGGGCGTCTCCCCGAGAGCCCGGTTTCACGTTGCACTAATGAGTGAACACCTGTTAGGAGTGGAGAAATCTGAACCTTGTTAGCGACTCTGACGCCTCCTGGGGGCCGGGCTGCCGAGCGCCGTCTCACTCACCGCCAGCGTGTCTGCACTGAGGACCCTGGCTGCGGCTGCGATGAAGTCCCCCAGCAGCATGGAGAAGCCGGGCAGACCCAGGGAGAAAAAGCGAGGTGGGCAGTGCCTTATGATGGTGTTTAAGACATCCTGGAGGGGGAGATAAGAGAACACAACCGTCACTGGTGAGAACAGAATCCCAAAGCCATCAGTTTGTCTGTACATACGACTACTGTACGATCATCTCAGAGAACAGAGACTGCGGAAATTCTTCAGTGAAAAGGGTACCGGGAGGTGGCTCAGCCCCAGGGCTGCTGTGCTCAATTTACCGGTGGGAGAAGGGGGACACTAAACTGGAGGATGACTCGTCCAAAATCTAAATCGTGGCATTGGGCCTAGACACCGCTTCCGTCTTCCAAGGCGAGCTCCGTGGACAAGCTCCAGGAGTGTTGACGTAGACACAGAAGTAGAACCTGCAAACGTCGATCACTTGCAATATTCTTCAGTTCTCCAAAGTTACAGCACACTGTTACATTAAAACCCTTAAAGCAGGCGAAGAGATGGACACATTCACACTTGCAGAGACTCCACACGCTAAGCAGTTGGCGTGAGGGAGCGCTGTAGCGCTGTGACGGGTCACACGCTAGGGCTGGGTGGTCGGCGGGGCTCCTGGGAGAAGCGGACGGCGAGATACACGTGCCCGGCTCACGGACCACCTGCTGCTCAGGGTGCAGCGTGTAGACCATCCTCAGCACGGAGGCCTGGTGCCCCTGGGTCTGGGGTGGCCTCTCATTGGTGGGTGGCCAGCTGGCCCCACCCACCAGCTCTGTTCTGAGGCTGTCACCCCATTCTAGCCTCCACTCGTGCCACAGTCAGGCCACATCTCTGAAGCCATCTGTGCGAGTGTTTGTGTGCAAAGGGGATTAGTCAGAAAGCCACAAACTGCTTTCATGAAGTTCTAGGTCAAGCACAGTAACCAAACGTAGCGCGTCACTACAGCTATGTGACCTGAAATCGTACACCCACAGTTAGTCACAAAATCTGAGTACAGTAAAATACTAAAAAAAAAAAACCAAAAAAACAAAAAAATCTTTTTTCCCCTCAAATTTCAGTGTGGCTATTTGAAAAATCCTTTAAAATAATCCTGATTTGATTAAATTAGAGCAAAGGAGTAGCAACGTGCTAAATTCTACCCTGTTCGTCCTTTATAATAAAAACAACTTCATTTAGCAACTTGTCATCTTAAAAGAGGATTTTTATGTGTTCACAAAACATTTTTTCTAAGACGTATGTTTTCCTAACATAGTGGGCTCATTTAGTTTCTACAAATCATACTGTTTATGTCTTTAAAATGACTGCCTAGCACTTCCTCTATTAAAGCTCATGTACAATAAATAGTTCAGCAAGTACTAATACAAGGTTTTAGCATTTCAGCAGACTTTTTCTTATACCAAAAACAAACAGAGAGATAAACAGAGAAACAGATAAAAGGGAGGAAGGAAGGAGGAAAGGAAAGAAACATCCGAGCACCCTGCTGCCGGGTTAATGTTTAAACCTGCTGCAATCACGTCCTTTGCTGCACGTTAGCGTCCACAGCGGCCAAGGCAAACATTCTGGGGGCTGAGCAGATGGACGCGGCAGTTTAGAGAGTGTGTGGTCAACTCACGCTCCAAGAGCGGAACAAAAGCTCCACCTTTCTCGTAACGAAGCCTCTGATTAATGCCCTGGGCTCCTCACCACACACCTGTAATTACTCACAGAGGTGCGCTCTGCGCAGGGCCCTGTCGCTGAGGATCAGGCACCGAGCCCTCGGGCAGCAGATGGGAGCGGGCTTCTGTTGACATCTGCTGCCTTGAAAGGGTTCGTGCAAGCCTGGCTCGCAAGGTAGCAGAGTGCCGCGCGTTTGAAGACCAACACTGCAAACAAGCACGATGTTAACTTTGTTTCGTTCGTGTTAATTCCATCTGTCGAGATGAGGAACCGAGCCTGGAACCCTGCAGGTTTTTCAAATCTTTGGCACATACTTAAAAAATCACCTCTTTTCACCACTGGAATTTAGGGCTTTAATTTTTAAAAAGAAGGTAGTTTGCTGGGATAAGTTTATGGGAATCAGGAACTAAGCCCTTTCAACGAGCTGCAGCCAGAATCTGTAAATGAAATCCCTTCTGCTTCACAAGAGTCACATGTGTCAAGGCAATGAGCTGTACGTGGGGCATTCAAAACAATTACTAAGTTGCCACTGATGCTGAAGAGAGCAGAAATGCGTGCTGCGGGGATCAAGTCACCCGGCCCCCCACCCCTGGACCTCGGCCAGTCTCTTCAACGGAACCTGCTTCTGCGGGCAAGAAGATTGGAAAGAGAGGGCAAAATAACAGATGGCCAGCCTGGCCTGCCCGCCACCCACGTAAGACGGCCCCCGGGAGAAGCGGGCCCGCCGCTGCCGCCAGTTAAAGGAGCGCTGGCCAGGGTGAGCGCGGGGGTTAAGGAGGGAACAAACACACGGCCGGTCGGCCAAGTTAGGGCCATATGCTTGCCTGCGCTGCTTATCCACACACAAGCGGAACAGCCCGAAGACGGCATCTTTGTGACAGCAGTCTGAAATAAGGAATAACTGCGGTCCTCGGGAGACAGTCACTGCATCTTGCCCACCGAGCGGGGTCCCCACAGTGCTGCGCTGACCTCTAGAGGGCCCTGCCTTCGCCTTCCTGCCGCACACGGGCATCGCAGTGACAGCTGGCGTCCTTGGGAAAATGAAAATCTTGAGACGGAACTTCCTCGACCATCTCCAGGGCGCTTCCCAAACAGCAATTATTCATGTGTGACCCTCATGCTTTTTGTCATATTCGAGTCCAAAGTGAACATTAGTTGTCTGTTTTTCAAAGTAACTCACTTCAAAAAACATGTAAATAAGATTATTCTGGAAAACTCGTATCCTGTGTCATAAATAGAATATACCGCTGAAGTCAGTACCACCACGGTAAGCCAAGGCCACTGAGTTTGTGCTAAGCACCGCAGTCTGACGGGGCGCTCCTTGTCAAGAGGAGGTCAGAGAAGCACTGTGCCCGCTGCAGCCGGCCTGCCCGGGGCCACCGTCCCCGGGGAGCGAGTCCCTGCCACTCAGGCTCCCCGCTCTGTGCCCGCAGTGGGGATGCCCCGTCCTCAGGTCAGACTCTGACACGGTGCAAAGAGCTGCAGCGCTGGGACACAGGCCAGGGGTCAAGGCCTCGTGATGCGACTGCGGGCAGACTGCGTCCTGCTCGGGTTTCACGTTTTCTCCCACGAAACAGACTGACGCCCCTACAGACTTCGTCTAACGGGAGAGGGGACACGTGCCTTTGCAAACTGAAAAGGCTCGCACACAAGCCAGCAGGGTGACAAGAAGAAACACCATTTTAAAAAAGAGAAAGCTGATCAAGAATTTTCACCTTCCAGAATCTAATTCACAGAATTCACTGAACGATGCTCTGCTGATACTCAGAAAGAAATTTTGAAAACATTTCAAAGGTGGCCCCGAAGCCTCTTACGTGACATTTTCCCAGAAATTAAAAAACTAAAAATTAATGCTCTCAAATAACATCCTTACTTAAGAGTCACAGCAGCTGGCTGTGGGGTATACAATTTATAAAGCGAGTAACGAAATAAAGGCAGGAAGACTCCGTTTCTAGATTCCCCAGAGTCCATTCTTCTACGCTGTTCTAAAATTTACCCCGATTAAGTGCCTCTGGTAGCAAAAACTAGTTTCTTTTCTATATTCTAAAGAGACTGAAAAACAGTCAGCAAAACAATTAGCTCACTGACAAGCGGGCTCTAGCACAGGAACGAGGTGTGTCCTTGAGGACTGACCAGCATGACGCTCCTGCACGTGCTTCTGTTCAAAGGAAATAAAACCCAATCTGCAAAACGCTGCAGGATGATGAACAGACCACCAGGCTGGCACTTTCCTCCCATTTTGGGTTAAAAGTCCACACGGATGCTGCACACTGAGCGTGAAAACGAGATGGTCAGATGATAACTGTGGATTTGCAGCTTATCAAAAGATTCTGGTTTATGAGAAAGTAACTGGTGAGAACATCTGTCTCCCATCACGGCTCTTGCAAAAAATCAGGCAATCCAAATAGAGGCGTGCTGCCGCCTCGCCCCCAGAGCACAGTTCTATAAATGCGAACTGCACTCGGCCTGGTAAACGAATCGCTTTAATTGAATGCTATGTACACAGTAACTGGAAAAACCGTAAGTGATAAGAAAAACATATGGTGGTGGCGACAGAAATCGGTTTATTCATTTTGCATAGTGTTGTTCCTTTAGTTCTCTTATAATTGACCTTCAGACGACAAATGTGTAAAATAATTCTGTTTATTATGGCTCCAAACCTTCCAACAATTACACAAAATGAAAATTTAAAAGGAAGGATTCGTTCTGGAAGCATTTCCATTGTTGACATAATTGCACAGCGATAATTTAGTGCCCGTGTTGTTATGGAAAATATAAAAAAGGGCCATTACAGGCCATTTCCATTCAAAATATTGCACAGTGGTGTCAAAAATGGGGGAAAATGTTCACTTTAAAGCAGTTTAAAATGGATTAACCCTGTAAACAGAAACATTTCAGCGCAGTGTTCTGTGAAATGCAAATGTTCACGAAGCAGCCGTCCCTCAAGCGGACTAGAAACGTCGCGTCTGCACTTTCACACCAAGCACGTATATATGATTCACTTAATGCTTGCGCAGGGCCCAGCAGATGATGGCTGTAACACAATAGCCGGCCATCTGCCTCTCTGCCTCCCTGCCTCCTGCGCGGACGCGCCTGCTTCCCGGGAGCAGACAGAGCCCAGAGTCACCCAGACCGTCCAGGAGGCCACACAGGGTCGTTCAGAAATGAACCTGCGTACCTGAAGTCACTGAGCGCCTCCTTTAATGTTTTACTTTAAGGAAACCAAGAGGCTAGATGGTGAATGGTTGCATTGCTGTTTTTCAGAGAAGGTACCTGTCCTTTACCCAGGAAACTCTGTGGGAAGGTCTTTTGTTGAGTGAGGCGGGGAGTGTTCCGGGCTGGTTGTCCCATCCATCGGGTTAACAGAAAGACCCTCCTTCAACCTAAGTGGACCAATTACCAAAAGATGTGAATGTGGAGGGATCCTTGTAATTCTACCC